GGGCAGTCGGGGTGCTGCGGGCCGGGGCCTGGGGAGCCGTAGGTGGGCGGGCCTGGCGGGGCCGCGTAGACCGGCGAGTCTCGGACCAGCACGTAGCCCACGTCCATGGTGGCCGCGGGGCACCCCGCGCGCGCATGCTGGCCCCGGAGCCAGCATTTGACAGCCACTCACCTGGACCCCTGCCACCCGATGACAGCCACTCACCTGGACCCCTGCCTCTTCCTTGATTAGGCTAATTGGGGAGAATAAGGTTAATATAAATTTTTACTGCATCTGTATTTGCTTTTCAAATAAATAATCATATATTTAAAGTTAGAAATGTTTGTGTTTCTAAGCATGATTTGCAATTTCTTACAGATTTGTGGGATCACTGGGTACCATCATCATAAAATGTAAAGATTTTAGAATTATTCAGTTGGATATTCCCGGAATGGAGGAATGTTTGAATATAGCCAGTTCCATTGAGGTAAGTATTTTGGAGGCAAAATATGAAGAAGAAGAAGAAAAAAACAGTCTTGTATTATGACTCAGTACAGATTTGATGTTTATTCATTAGATATTTGGTCATGTCCTCTGACTCAGATACTGAAGACGATAGGAAAAACCTTGTCCTGATTTACTGTTATACGAGTGTAATGGGACCTTATTGGCTTATAGCAGTGTTTAGTGTTACTCATTTTATATGAGTAATGCCAGTTCCATAAATTACATGCAAGTCCATGGAATTACTTTCCCTCCCAAAGACTTTATGGAATTTCATTGAGTTCATAATAGTCAAATAATAGATACTGTTTCACTTGTGCTTATTTGGTGAAACTATTAAAGGATTTAGTAAAGAGGGTCTTGGGAGAAATTTTAAAGTTTTGCTTGGTATTTCAGAGTGACTATACAAATCTTTATATTTCACAAGGCAGTTTATGAACTTTTTTTCCTGCTCCAGTAGGTTTGCTCAAGTAAAATCCTATATGGAATTTTAAAACAATAAAGGAATCACAGAGTTAGAATTGCTTTTGGTCACATTATAGTGGGCAAGTATTTGAGGTTTTATTATGTGCCAGGCATTGTTCTAAGCCTGTTACGTGGTCTCTTTTAATGCCCCAGCAGCCCTATGAAGTGAGTACTGCTGTTTCCCCCATTTTACCGTTGGGGGAATTAAGGCAGAGACTCGTATGACGTAGCTGCTGTTGCCCAGCTAGGATTTGGGATTCGAGTCCAATAGATTGACTCTTGGCCATTAAGCTGCATCCTCCTTTTTTCACAGTTACTGACAGACCTGATTTTAAGTAACTCACACATGTTTACATAGCCAATAACTGGATCTTGAGCTCATACCTGACTTACTAACCAAAAACTCTGTGTTCTCTAATCCCCAGAAATACTTGGCCTTTTTGTTATGCTTTATTAAATGGTATCAAGAGGAGTTAATTCATTTTTCATCTGGACTTGGTGTATGCATGTTTTTGTTTTTTATTTTTTATTTTTTTGAGTTGGAATCTCACTCTGTCGCCCAGACTGGAGTGCAGTGGCCGCTCCTAGCCTCCACAGCCTCGACTTGCTGGGCTCCGGCGATCCTTCCGCCTCCGCCTCCTAAGTAGCTAGAACATAGGCGTACGCTACCAAGCCTAGCTAGTCTTTGATTTATTGTAGAGACAAGGTCTCGCCAAGTTGCCCGGGTGGGTCTTGAACCCGTGGGCTCAGGCAGTCCTCTCGCCTCGGCCTCCCAAAGTGCTGGGATTACAGGCTGAGCCACCGAGCCCGGCCTGTTTTTTATTTTATTCACTTGATATTTATTGAGTGTGTGTTGTGTGTCAGATGCCTTGTTAGATACTGAAAACTTGGAAATTAGCTTCAATAAAACTCTAATTGCATCTAGTGATAAAGTGTTAGAAAAATATCTTGGGTGACCATCGTTATTAGGCCATATTTGCCTAATTTTTCCATAGGATGTGTTTCAAATTGTGGTGTGTTTCTTTTTTCTTTCTTTGTTTTTGCCCCCTTAGGCATTGTCTACCCTGGACTCCGTCACTCTGATGTACCCTTTCTTTTACCGGCCCATGTTCGAGGTGATAGAAGATGGCTGGCATTCTTTCCTTCCTGAGCAAGAGTTTGAACTCTATTCCTCAGCTGTGAGTTAACTTTTGAGAACTATGGATAATGAGAAGTAATCCAACATCTTAGTGTACTTGTGAAAATGACACCACTTCTTTTGAAGAGTAATAGGTGAATTAACATGTCCATTTCTAATCTTAATATACTTACAAGGATTGAAGCCATACAGAGTATAAACTCTGGTCACAAAGGGATTAAATTAGAAATCAGTAACACCAAGATATCTAGGACTATATTCAAGTATTTTTAAATTAAACAAAATTTGTGAAGTATGCTAAGGCAATGTTTAGAAATTAAACTTATAGCCTTAAGATTCTTATACTAGAAAAGAAACAGAGTCTAAAATCATTGACCTAAGCACCTACTTTAGAAGCTAAGAACAAAAAGCCAGTGCTTTGCTAAACTCTGGTGTGTTCATGTGGCTCTTTGAGCTATGGCTACTATGTTTCCTGACTTTGGCCTCCTCCCCTGCCTGAGGAGGTGAATTTCCTCTCTCTTCTCTCTCTCTAACTTACTTTCTAAATAAATTATATTTTCCAATCTAAAAAAAGAGAAGCTAGAAAAAAAAAGAAGCAGCTGGGCGAGGTGGCTCATGTGATCCCAGCACTTGGGGAGAGGATTGCTTGAGTCTAAGGGTTTGAGACCAGTCTGGGCAACTTGGTGAGACCTTGTCTCTACAATAAATTAGCCAGGTGTGGTGTTGGACGCCTGTAGTTCCAGCTACTTGAAAGGCTGAGGTGGAAGGATCACCTGAGTCCAGCAGTTTGAAGCTGCGGTGGCTGTGAGCATGCCACTGTACTCCAACCTGGGCAACAGAGTGAGACTCCAACTTAAAAAAAAAAAGAGCAAAATAAATGGAAAGAAATAAAAATAAAAGAAAGAAAATAACTAGAAGTAATGAAGTAATAAGCAAGTTTAGCAAAGTGACTTGCATTGCCAACAACCAGTCTGAAAAATGAATAAAAGTACTCAGGAATCAATTTAACAAAAGAAGTGCAGATCTATATACTGGAAGACACAGAACATTGCTAAAAGAAGTTAAAGGAAGGCCAGGTGTGTTGGCTCATGCCTATAATCCCAGCACTTTGGAGGCCGAGGCGAGAGGATTGCCTGAGCCCAGGGGTTCAAGACCTCGCGTTTACAATAAATCAAAAAATTAGCCGGGCATGGTGGCACATGCCTGTAGTCCCAGCTATGTGGAAGGTTGAGGTGGAAGGATCGCCTGAGCCCAGCAGGTTGACACTGGGGTGGTCGTGAGCACGCCACTGAACTCCAGCCTGGACAACAGAGTGAGTCTCCGACTCAAAAAACACCCGAAAAACAAGAAGTTAAAGGAGCTCTAAATAAAAGGAGAGATATACTGTGTACATGAATGGAAAGATAATATAATTAAGATCAGTGGCTGGATGACTTAGGAGAAGGACCGGAGGGCATTTTTCAGACTGCGTGTCGTGTGGTCTCTGTTACGACTGCTCCACTCCTCTGGTGTAACATGAAAACAGTGATAAACAAGACATCACTGAATGGGTGGTGCTTTGTTCCAGTAAAACTTATTTGCAAGGACAGGCAGCAGGCTGGGTTTGGCTCACTAAGGTGGCCGTTCTCCCCAAATTAGTCTATAGATGTAATGCCACCCATCCAGCTGCACCTATTGCGATTCCAGTAGATGTTATCAAAGAAATAGACAAGATGATCCCAAAATTTATATGAAAATGGAAAGTTGCTAGAATAATAAAAACAGTTTTTTAAAAAATAGAACATTTACATTATTTGATTTAAAAACTTACTTTAAAGCTACAGTAATCAGCCGGGCTCGGTGGCTCAGCCTGTAATCCCACGCCTTTGGGAGGCTGAGGTGAGTGAATTGCCTGAGCCCGCGGGCTCGAGACCCTCCTGGGCAGTGAGACCTCATCTCTACAATAAATTAAAAAAAAAAAAAAAATCAGCCGGGTGTGGTAACGCATACCTGTAATTCCGGCCACATGGAAGGCTGAGGCAGAAGGATCGCCGGAGCCCAGCAGGCAAGGTTGCGGTGGCCGGGAGCGGCCACTGCACTCCAGTCTGGGTGACAGAGTGAGACTCCAACTCAAAAAAAAAAAAAAAAAGCTACAGTAATCAAGGGAGTATGGTATTGACATAAGGGTAGGCATAGAGATCAACGGAGCAGAAAAGAGGGCACAGAAATAAGCCTCCTCCTTTATGGTCAGCTGATTTTTGACAAAGGTATCAGTCGATTGAATAGGGAAAGGACAGCTTTGTCAATCAGTGACACTGCAACAGTTGGAACAATATCTAAAAAAAGATGAACCTAGACGCTTACCCCACACCATTCATAACAATTAACTCAAAATGTACTGTAGACAGAAGCATAAGAGCTAAAATTTAAAAAGCTCTTAGAGAAAGCACAGGAGAAAATCTTTATGACCTTGGGTTGGGCAAAGATTTTTTTAGGTATGACACCAAAAGTGACTGAAAGGAGATTCGTGATTTCCTAGTATCATAGGGTGTTTCACAGGTGTATACAACTGTCAATACTTGTGAAATTGTGTATCAAAATGGATTCAGTTTATTTTTCATAAATTTTGTCTTAATAGAGTTGATTAAAAAGAAGAAAAATATTAAAGGTTAAATAGCTGATTATAGAAACAGCTAAAGAGAGAATGAGTGATCTGGAATGGAGATCTGAAGTAATCACTGAATACAGAACAGAGGAACAAGGAAAATGGAAAAACAGAGATTAGAGACATGAATGGATTATAAAGGAAGAAGATCCAATATTTCTCACATGGAAGTTTAAGAAGAAGATGGTAAATAAAATGGAAAAAGGGCAATGTTCAAAAAAACAATGGTTGATAATTCTTCAGAATCAGTAGAAGTCATTGAACACTTAAGTCAACATGTCTCAGCAAACACCATGCAAGATAATAAAAATCTTTACTTAGACATGTTGTCCAGCTACTGACCAGTAAAGCAAAGAGAATATCACAAAATTAGAGAAAAGGCAAATTACCTACATGGTATTAGTTTAGAAGAGAAAAAATTTTGATAAACATTTATTCATGATAAAAGCTCTTATTTAGCAGTGTTGGATTTGAAGGGAATTTCTTTAATCTGATAAAGAGTGACTACCAAAAGCATACAAAAAGCAAATCTTTATCAAGTTCAAGAGAGAGATGCCGGGCATGGTGGCTCAATCTTGTGATCCCAGCACTTTGGGAGGCAGAGGTGAGAGGATTGCCTGAGCCCAAGGGTTCGGGAACAGCCAGGGCAACTTGGCAAGACCTCGTCTTTATAGTAAATTTAAAAATTAACTGGACATGGTGGCGCACATCTTGGTTTCAGCTACTTGGTAGGCTGAGGCAGAATGATCACCTGAGCCCAGCAGAAATTTTAAGACTTCTAGAATATGTCTAAGAAAAGATATAAAAGGTTTTTATTGAACTATAAAACTTTATGAAACATTAAGGAAAGCTTAAATAAGTGGAGAGGAAATAGGTTGAATATCATTAAAATGTAATTCATAGCCGGGCTCGGTGGCTCAGCCTATAATCCTGTGCCTTTGGGAGGTTGAGGTGAGTGGATTGCCTGAGCCCACGGGTTCGAGACCCGCCTGGGCAACTTGGTGAGACTGCATCTCTACAGTAAACCAAAAAATGAGCCGGGCATGGTAGCGCGTGCCTGTAGTTCCAGCTACTCGGAAGGCTGAGGCGGAAGGATCACCGGAGCCCAGCAGGCGAGGCTGCGGTGGCTGGGAGCGGCCACTGCACTCCAGTCTGAGCGACAGAGTGAGACTCCAACTCAAAAAAAAAAAAAAAGATGTAATTCATTCTCTCTGAACTCACCTGTAAAGTTAATATAATCTTATTAGAACCCCAGTTGGTTTTTACATGGAATTTGATAAAAGTCACATGGAGGTACAAAGACCAAAAGCCAAGTTACTCTTGAAAAACAAAAGAGGGGAGGAAGAGACTTAGCCTATTAGATACCAAGCTTATTTTGGAAGCTATGGGAATTCCTAAAATAGATCTCTGGGACAGATTAGAGAGCCCTGTACATTTGGAAACTTTATATGTAGCAGAAGTGGCATTGCGGATCAGTGGAGAGTCATAGCATTCTCCAGCTTAGGAAATTTATAAATAATACACAATAGTGAAAACTCAAGAAATAATAGCATGATCATGTTACTTAGAAATTTACAACTTTGCACCAAAAAATTTTTAGGTGCTGAAAATGATTGCCTTTGGGGAAAGTGAATTGTGATAGGCGAACAGGAAACCGATATCTCTTTGGCCGATGCATAAGTCCATGGCACTTTCCGCTTGCCCGTGGAATGCAGATGTCACATGATGGTTGACTGGCCACAGTTCGTCCCGTGTACCAGTTCTCGGGTTGGCTGATGTTGATGTGGGTCGTCATGGGCTAAAGTGAGGGTTAAAGCGCTGAACCCTCTTCATCAATGCCTGACGGTCTTCTTGAATGTGGAGAAACATTCAGGCCAAAGTGGGCCTCTTTGAGATGACAGAACCGTTTTCTTTCCCCGATGGCATTCTCCCTGTACCCAGCCCAAATGTTTCGAGCCACCTGCACCGCCTTTACTTCTTCGCTAAACTCACAGAGAATATATTGGAAGTGTTTGGATTTTTCCACTTGATGCTCCATCTTCTTTAGCCCACAGATAGCACTAACTTTCTTCAAATCTGCAAAATGTAAAGTATATTCACAAGCACACGTCACTCCAGAGGACTGATGGCAAACAATAAAAAAACTCCCAGCACTGCAGTGTTGCATGCCAAAAACAAATGCTATACACACTTATGCAGCAACCTAATACTTTTTTTTTGGTAAAAAATCTTTTAGAAACTATATTTAAAAAAAAGTGGTAGCAAGGCCAGGCTCGGTGGCTCAGCCTGTAATCCCAGCACTTCGGGAGGCTGAGGTGAGTGGATTGCCTGAGCCCATGGGTTCAAGACCAGTCCAGGCAACTTGGCGAGACCTCATCTCTACAATAAATCAAAAATTAACCGGGCATGGTAGCACGCGCCTGTAGTTCCAGCTACTTGGAAGGTTGAGGTGGAAGGATTGCCAGAGCCCAGCAGGTGGACACTGGGGTGGCCGTGAACGTGCCACTGCACTCCAGCCTGGGTGATAGAGAGAGACTCCAACTCAAAAAAAATTGTTAGCAAATAACTGAAATGTGAAAAAAAATTTGAAAAAATGATGTTATATCATATAAAAATACTTAAAAAAAATAATGCTCTCATAATACATCTAACATACTTTTAAGCTTTATCCTCCTAATACCCATGGCTGGTTTATTAGACCAATTCGGATTCATAGAGACTTATTGAAATTTTTTTTCTTTGGAGTCTCACTCTGTCGCCCAGACTGGAGTGCAGTGGCCGCTCCCGGCTACCGCAACCTTGACCTGCTGGGCTTCGGCAATCCTTCTGCCTCAGCTTTCCAAGTAGCTGGAGCTACAGCTGACTTATTGAAATTTACATATATAATTTAATTTTTTTAAACTGCAAGAAGTCTGTAACCTTCAAGTAGTGTTCAGTTCTGATGTTTAAAATAAGTTGATTTTAGATAGTTCTCTATTATATACTTTTAGTTTTTAGTTTACTGAGTTGGAAATTATTTCATTGACTCCTAAGTATAATCTTTCTTAGTAGTGAGTTGTTACTGTTTTAAGAAAGATGTTACCACTCGAATGACATTTTTCTTCTTTTTAAGTAACTGAAAGGAACAAAGGATTTGGTGTAGCTCTACTCTTATCTGTTTTGGTTAAGCATTGTCTAAAGTATTGCAGTCTTACTTGTGCTCTTCTTTAAGAGGATCTTTAGCAAATTAAATGGGACCCAGAAAAGGATGAATGGGATGATATTGGCCGTGGTAACCATGGATAAACCTAATATATTTAATTTGGAGGCTGGAAGACTAAGAGGAAACTCAACTGTCTTTCACATATTTGAAAGGCTGCCATGTGACATAGGGAATTTGTGCTGTGTTGTCTGGAGTCATGGTAAAAACCAATAGAGGAAGTTGCAAAGCAACAGGTTTTGCTCAATGCGAGGAAGAACTTTTTAGGAACTAGTGATTTGTAGCAGTGGAGGAAGCTGGCCTGAAAGAACGGAGCTCCTTCTCTCTGCAGGTAATTACATATAGGCCAGATCGCCTTCTATTAAATTTCTTCAGAACTGAAAGTGGGTCTCCAAGGTCTTGTTCAGACTATTCTGTGACATTGAGATGGTTGCATAGTTTTGAAGTATTTTGTGTTTTTCAGACCGGTGAATGGAGGCTAAGCTACGTCAATAAGGAATTTGCTGTCTGTCCTTCTTACCCACCAATTGTCATAGTGCCCAAATCCATTGACGACGAAGCTCTTCGGAAGGTAGCAACCTTTCGACACGGAGGGCGCTTCCCGGTACTAAGCTATTATCATCAAAAAAACGGAATGGTAAGCATACAGCACTACTGCTTGATCTCCTGAAAGGCTTGGCTTGGGGATCTTTTCTTAGAAATATTCTCTTTTTCTTTTTTTTTTTTGAGTCGGAGTCTCACTCTGTCACCCAGACTGGAGTGCAGTGGCAAGCTCATGGCCACCGTAGCCTCGACCTTCTGGGCTCAGGCAATCCTTCTGTTTCAACCTTCCAAGTAGCTGGAACTACAGGTGCATGCTACCATGCCCGGATTATTTTTTTTATTTATTGTAGACATGAGGTATTGCCAAGTTGGTCAGGCTGGTCTCGAACCCCTGAGCTTAGGCAGTCCTCTCGCCTCTGCCTCCCAAAGTGGTGGGATTACAGGCTTGAGCTACCACAGCTGGCTAGGATAAAAATATTCTTAAAAATCTGCTCCTTTGGCAGCAGGCTACCTACCCTGCTTACTCTTTAGTATTGTTCTTCAGAATGATTTATTTAGAAAGCATTTTAACAATGAACATATATACATATATTTTAAATTAGAGACAAGGCCTCACTGTGTTGCCCAAGCTGGCCTCGATCTCCTGGGCTCAGGTGGTCCTCCTGCCTTGGTCTCCCAGAGTACTGGGATTACAGGTGTGAGCCACTGTGCCCAGTCAACAGTGGATATTAAACATAGTGTTGTGTCCATTTGAATGGCAAGTGCTGTCTGAAAGCTAACCGTTGTCATCCTCTGGGTGACCTTTCTTGGTCAATTAAATGTTAAGATAAAACAGTATATAATGGTGGTCTCTTAAGATAACCCTAAACCACTCACCAGGGAAGAGATTAGTGTGATGGACACTGATTTCTTGAGAAAAGTCTCAAAAGCAGATCTTTTAAAATATGTGGTTGGTAGGGTAGACTTTGGAGACATGTGGTTGAAGTCCCAGAATACTGAAAAGGTTGGCAGACCACTGGGGGATGAATAACAGACAAGCTGCTTTCAAGGGGCTGAAGATGAATCCCTAAGCACGAATAGTTCACACACTTTTAAGTTGTGCTTGAGTGCCTTTTCCCCTTGTGATTCTTGTAGAAATTTGCCAGCCTTTGTTTGTGTCGAGGAAGTCAAGGTTTACTGGCTCGCGGGCCATTATTGCCTTTATTACAGGGTCAGGGCTACTGGGTATTTGATTCTTGGACTCGGTAAATTATAATATTTGATCTTAAAGAGGTGATATGTGGAAGTATTCGTCAGTACATGTACATATTTCTTTGTTTATGGATCAAATTCATCTTCAGCTGTCACTCAGTTATTTGGGAGATCCTCTTTTTTTTTAAATTTTTTTTTCCTTTTTCTTTTTCTTTCATTCTTTTTTATTTTTAACAAATGAGGTCCCCCCAAGTTGCCCAGGGTGGTCATGAGCCCCTGAACTCAGGCAATTCTCTCGCCTCCACCTCCCAAAGTGCTGGGATTACAGGCATGAGTCACTGTGCCCAGCAGAGATACTCTTAATCTAGCTCATTTCTTTCTGTTTTTAGAAACTTCAAAAGCAACTGCTATTGCATTTTCAGCTGTACTATGCTTCTAGGTAATTATGCGAAGTGGTCAGCCACTCACTGGCACAAATGGGAGGAGGTGCAAGGAAGATGAGAAGCTGATAAACGCCACCCTCCGGGCAGGAAAGCGGGGCTACATCATTGACACTCGATCCCTCAATGTGGCTCAGCAGGCTAGAGCCAAAGGAGGTGGCTTTGAACAAGAAGCTCCTTATCCCCAATGGAGACGAATCCACAAGTCCATTGAGAGGTAAAAGATTTCAGAGACTCTTATTTGAAGCTATTCAGAGTGGGTGAACCCTTAGCTGTTCAAATGTCACTAGTGCTCAAATGAACCTACTCGTTAATTTAGGGTCAATAACTGACTAGATAGCTTCTCATTGTGATTTTTTGTTTGTTTGTTTGAAGGGTCAGTTTTATTAAGGTTTAATTGATAAATAAAAATTATGTATATTTGTGATGTACAGCACACTGTTTTGATATATGTATACATTATGAAATGATTAAATCAAGTTAATTAACATATCCATCACGTCACATAGTTACCATTCTTTTTTTTTTTTTGAGTGAAGTCTCGCTCTGTTGCCCAGACTGGAGTGCAGTGGCCACTCCCGGCTACCACAGCCTCGATCTGCTGGGCTCTGGCGATCCTTCCGCCTCAGCCTTCCAAGTAGCTGGAACTACAGGCACGTGCTACCATGCCCGGCTAATTTTTTTTTTTTTTTAATTTATTGTAGAGATGAGGTCTCACTAAGTTGCCCAGGTGGGTCTTGAACCACTCACCTCAGCCTCCCAAGGCACGGAATTGCAGGCTGAGCTACTGAGCCTGAGTCCGGTTTACCATTCTTTTTGTGATGAGAACACTTAAAGATCCACTCTGGCTGGATGTGGTGGCTCACGTCTATAATCCCAGCAATTTGGGAGGCCCAGGTAAGAGGATTGCCTGAGTCTGTGGGTTCGAGACCAGTGTGGGCAACTTGGCAAGACCTCATCTCTACAATAAATAAAAAAATTAACCAGGCATGGTGGCACGTGCCTGTAGTTCCAGGTGCTTGGAAAGCGAGGAGGAAAGATCAATTGAGCCCAGCAGGTCGAGGCTGCAGTGACCATGAGCAGCGTGCCACTGCACTCCAGCCTGGGCAACAGAGTGAGACTACGACTCAAAAAAATAAACAAATGAAGATTCGCTTTCTTTGCAATTTTAAGCATATAATATATTATTAGCTAGCTATGGTTGCCATGCTGTACAGTCTCCAGAATAGCTTCTGTCTTACTGGAACTTTGTAACCTTTGACCATCCTCTCTCCATATCTGCCCTCCATCCCACCTTCCCACCTCCTGGCAACTATTATTCTACTGTCTGCTTCTGTGAGTTAGACTTCTTTAGATCCCACTGTGTAAGGGAGGTCACGCAGTATACATCTCTCTATGCCTTCCCGATTCCCCATAGCATGATGTCTTCTGAGTCATCTGTGTCGTTGCAAATGACAGGATTTCTTTCTTTGTTAAGGGTGAACAGTGTTTTGTTGCACACACATATCACATTTTCTTTATCCGTTCTTCTCAGCTGTTGTGCAAGTACTCATGGAGGTCTTGATTTCATTTCCTTTGGATAGGGGTCCAGAAGTGGGGTTGCTGGATCATACAGTAGTTCTATTTTCAATTTTTTGAGGAGGCCAGGTGTGGTGGCTCAAGCCTATAATCCCAGCACTTTGGGAGGCCGAGGCAAGAGGATTGCCTGAGCCCACAGGTTCAAGACCATTCTGGGCAACTTGGTGAGACCTTATCTGTACAATAAATCAAAAAAAATGGCTAGAAGTGGTGGCTTGCGCCTGTAGTTCCCGCTACTTGGAAGAATGAGGCAGAAGGATCGCCTGAGCCCCGCAGGTTGATGCTGCCATGGCTGTGAGCGTGCCATTGCACTTCAGCCTGGGTGACAGAGTGAGACTTTGACTCAAAAAAAAAAAAAATTTTTTTTTTTTTTTTGAGGAACTTGGTTACTGTTTTCCATAATGACTATATTATTTTACGTTCGCACCAACATTGTACAAGGGCTTCCTTTTCTCCATATTCTCGACAGCACTTGTTAGATCTTGTATTTTTGATGACAGCCATTTTAACAGGTATGAGATGATACCTCACTGTGGGGGGAATATACATCTCCTTCATGATTTGTGATGGTGAGCATTTTTTTTCAAATATGCGTCTTCTTTTGTGAAATGTCTATTTGGGTCCTTTGCCTGCTGTTTTTTTTTTTTTGACTTGGAGTCTCACTCTGTCGCCCAGGCTGGAGTACAGTGGCATGCTCATGGCCACCACAGCATCCACCTGCTGGGCTCAGGCAATCCTTCCGCCTCAGCCTTCCAAGTAGCTGGAACTACAGGCACGCGCCACCACGCCTGGCTAGTTCTTGTGATTTATTGTAGAGATGAGGTCTCACCAAGTTGCCCAGGGTAACCTCGAGCCCGTGAACTCAAGCAATCCTCTCACCTTGGCCTCCCAAAGTACTGGGATGACGGGCTGAGCCACAGCACCTGGCCTGCCTACACTTTAATCGGGCTATTTGTTTTCTTGCTACTGAGTTGAGTTTCTTATATAGTTTGGATGTTAACTCCTTATCTAATGTGTTGATTGAAAATGTTTTCTCCTATTCCATAAATTGTCTCTGTGCTCTGTTGATTATTTCTTCTGCTGCGCAGAAGCTTTTTAGTTTTATGCAGCCCCATTTGTCTATTTTTGCTCTTGGGGCCATATTCAAAAAAATCTTTGCCCAGACTAGTGTCAAGAGACTTTTTATGTCTTTGTCGAGTAGTTATGCAGTTTCAGGTCTCAAGGTTAAGTCTTTAATCTGTCTTGAGTTGTTTTTGTGTACGTGGTGAGATGAAGGTCCAGTTTCTTCTGCATGTGATACCCAGTTTTCCCACCTCCTTTTATGGACCAGGCTATCCTTTCTTTAGTGTTTATTGTTGATACCTTTTTCAAAGATCAGTTACCATAAATGCATGGATTTATTTCTGGGTCCTCTATTCTGTTCCATCAGTTGATGTGTGTTTTTATGCCAATACCATGCTGTTTTGATTACTACAGCTCTGTAGCATATTTTGAAATCAAGTAGTGCAAGGCTGTCAGGACCTTGGCTTTTCCTTTATGAGTGATCTTTTTACTGATTCCATTTCCTTACTCATGATCCATTCAGATTTTCTGTTTCTTTGTGACTCAGTCTTGGTAGGTTGTATGCCTCTAGGAATTTATCAGTTTCCTGTAAGTGAGCCAATCAATTTGTTGGTGCATGATTATTCACAGTCTTCTCTTATGGTTCCTTGTGTTTCTTTGGTATCAGTTGTAATGACTCCTGTTTTGTTTCTGATTTTATTTACTTGTCCTCTCTCTTTTTTTTAGTTAGCTAAAACTTTGTCAATTTTGTTGATCTTTTCAGAAAATCAACCCTCATTGTGATTTGATAAGATAAATAAAAACACTTCCCTGTGTACACACAGGAGCGTCTGTCACTAACCTTCTTTCTCTAAGTCACCTGACACCTCAGCCCCACCAGGTCTGCTCCTCCTCTACATGTGGGTCAGTGGTTGCCAAACTGAATAGATTTGCTACATAGACTTGTATTTTTCTATGCCAAAGACTTTAGAGATTCTGTTTCTCCCATTCCCACCTATTTTCTCTCTGTTTTCTACATCTGTACAGTCTTTTGTTTATACTGTCAGTGAGTGATTTATAAGTGCTTCTGGTTCTAAAAAACAGTGGGGTTTGGGTGGGGTTGGGTATCGCTGCTGATGGTGCTGTGGTCTAGTTTGGGTCAGTAGGAATAGGATCGCAGAGATAAGTGGTGCTGTGTCCGCGGACCTGTCACAAAATGCAGGGCTCTGGCCCTGTCCCCAGTCAGATAATCCGTCTGCTCAGATGAGGAACAGGTTACCAGAACAGTCGTTTTAGGCGTCTTTGCAACAGTGCTTAAGTGTTAATTTTTCAATCTTTAATCCTCAAGTCACTGTAGAGCAGCGTAAATATTTTTATAGCATTTTGAACTCCTTTTGCTCTGGTATATTGGAAGTTGAATTTGGGGTTTGATTTCTTCCTTTATTGTTCTATTTCTTGTTTTGTTTTTTACTTCTTTTTATTTTTAAAAGATACCACATTCTTCAGGAGAGCCTCATCAAACTTGTGGAAGCTTGTAATGACCAAACACACAACATGGACCGATGGCTGAGTAAGCTGGAGTCCTGTAACTGGCTGACCCACATCAAAGAGATTCTGACAACTGCCTGCCTAGCGGCTCAGTGTATCGACAGGTAATGTGCATTTCAGCGTTCCTGAATGGGGCATGCACTGATAACTAGACTGTTTTTTGTCCAGACATAGGTTTTTTAGATTATGCTAAATTTTGTGCCTATATTCTCGTCTATGTTCAGATCATGTGATAAGTTTCTATGTAGGATAGTCAACACTCTTCAGTTGGCAATGAGGTATGAATAGAGATGGCATTTAATCCTTAATTAATGCTTGTTAGCTGGGCTTGGTGGCTCAGCCTGTAATCCCACGCTTTGGGAGGCTGAGGTGAGTGAATTGCCTGAGCCTGCAGGTTCGAGA